AGGCGAGGCTTCACCACCCATTTATCCCTCCGCCTTTCAACCAGCCCCACATGTGATTATCGGCCAGGCTGGCACAATTAACTAACTCAGTCACCCTACTACAGAAAGTATCTGATTATGAAAATAATAATCATTTATCATTTATCAAGGGGTCATGGAGGGAGGAGGGTAAAAAAAGAGGAGCTGATACCAAGGGCTCAATAGAAAGTAAATGTCTAGAAAATAATGATAGCAACATATGTACAAATTTGCTTGATACAATTGATGTATGGATTGTTATAAGAGCTGTAAGAGCCCCCAATAAAATGATCTTTTAATTAAAAAAAAATATATATATATCTGAGGCTATACATTTTTACAGAAGCAGGTAGCCCCACCTATCTCCCATAGAGAAGCTGATGGATTTAAACCTCCAACTTCATGGTTAGCAGTGCAATGCTTCCCCTAGCATGCCACCAGGGGGCTACTATAAATACTCATAGATAGCTTTTATTATCTGCTTTTATTACTTGTATAGTTCTAGTTTACTGCGTCCATATTCATTATGTCCTATGGCAGGGTAAAGGTTAGTTAATGAAGCTAAAATCTATGAGAGCTGACCCACATGTTATTATTACTAAAATATGCTGTTTGAAAATAAACAACTTCAGACTAAGTAAATATCAACTATTAAATATTTTATGTTTAATTTTATAAAATCCTTATCCATTCTGAAGTTTATCTACTGCTGAGATAAGGATTATAAATTTGAAATTTAAAAAAATCTATACATACAGTCATGTCAAAATTTGGATAGTAAAACATTAAACATTATTATAAAGTTCAATTGAATCAATTGTAATTTAATTGGCATTTTAAAATCTAAAGTGAATAGTATTGATAAATGAAAATTGATATTGACTAGTCAGGGAAAATGAAATTTCTAAAAAATAATAAGTTTACATGGAAAATCTATTTCAGTGTAACATTTTTGTGCTATTTTAATATGCCTTGTTTATAATAACACTACTAAAAAGACGAAGCGTTCAACAGAT